TAAATGTTCGCTACTGTTGATTAAAGCGTTTGAATAATTCAGTGAGGCTCTGATTAAATCATCTGAAAATAGAATGAACTCTAGAATTCAACAGATAATTACCACTCAATTTCATTTTCACAGTAACGCAATTAATTGTTGAACAATAAAGATTGATTTACATGTTTTTTGATAAATGTAATATGAACCAGGCTGGCATCCTCGCGATAATTAAGCTACGCGATATTGCTTTGAAAATTAACTCTTAATGTAGCTTCTATTAAGATCGATGGATCAGTTCGGCTATTTTGTAACGTTCCACTATCATGCGATGCGGCGTGTTTGATGGCGAGACATTAATTATCGTGTCCCATTCATCAGTAGGAAAATTTTCGTCTCTCGAAAATCGCACGCAATTGAATTTTTACAATTCTCTTTCCCACGTTCAAACTCAATGATATGGCATTGATCGCAGATCGAATTTTCCATTAATTAAAAACATTTAATATCCTTCGATTAATATTCCTTATTTTATGCTCGCTTACACATTTATACCAAATCGCTTTTGAACGGATTGTGTAAGTAAAAAATATCGAGGAAATATTCAAGTCGAATGCTCCTGAAAAATTCTATGCATCCTTAAGCACAAAAGTCGCTGGAGAAGATGAACACACTGTTCCTGGCAAGAAGGGAGCGTTACTCTTAATGCCTTTTATGTATGATATCCAAGTATTCCGACGACGCAGTGAACAAATTCAGTTCGGATTTTATTCCCCAATGGAAATCATTTCTATTGTTAACAATCCAGCTGTGAAAATTTGCACGTGGAAAAATTAATATCCGACGATGGAATCGGTTAGAAATATCGTTGCATAAAATTTGTAAAGAATTTCCCGTGATTATGCGACTTCCCGAGGAAAACGGTATGCGGGAAAATTAATGACGCAAGTGAAACTCGTCTTGCAAGATTCACGTTGATCCGCCATCATTCATTAACACGTATCAGATTATCAGTGAAATTATATACACCGTGTTGCACACTCTCAGATTCGCAATGGCTGAATCATAATTAATTATAGTAAGCGATTAGAACTCTCTTTTTATTGAACACGATTATATCGCGTTGAACTAGACATCGCAGGATGTAAATTACGTTTTTTCTCAGATAGACCATGAAATTTATATGATCAATGATTCTCGTTGAATTCCTCGGTTTACTATTTTTTTTAAATAAATCCTTTTTATATCAGTTATTTTCATTGAACTGTTTCTTTGATTCGATTTTTCATGTCAGTGGCTCGTGATGAAATAAAATCATTTACACTCCCTGGTGCGAATTGAGAATAACTCAGCCTGTGATAGAATATGGATTCTGCAATAAATTTAATCGAATTGTTCATGTGATTTAATTTTTCATATCGGAAGCATTTAAGATTATACCCTTACAT